ATGGTGCCAGTCGGCTCAATTCCCGAACTCTGCATACGCACAATGGCTGCTCCTCTGGCAGAGGTACGAGACTCAGGAGGCGTTGGGTAGTTGGCTTGGCCTCAGTGATGGATGTTCCTTCAGCTTCAAATCAGCCCAGACTGAGGAGCTGATCTGTGACTATGATGCACTTAGAGACTGAATCAATCTACCTTACTCCCCTTCTCCAATGTGGCTATTTAAAGAAGCAATTAATGTAAAAGAAAAAGACTTGCAAGTGCCAACATCTGATTGTGGCCTCTTATAACCAGCATGCTGATTGATAACTTCCTCTCTCCTGTCAGACTGATTTAGGGTTTCTGGCCTCGCCTACAACGTCAGATCTCTGTATTTCACTCAGATGGTCTATGGTCCTTGTGAAAATGCGGGCTATTGACAAAACCAACGATGACTAGCTATTGATTTTGTACGCAACAATTCTGGCCCCTCCTCCTCGCCTCTGAAAGGATAAATGTAATGACGGGATGGACCTAAGGCAGTGGATATTGTTGCCTTGCTTTAGGTTGGACTCACAATACAGCAATAGTTTGTAACTATACAATGAGTACTATGGATAAGGTGACAGTTTATTACAGCTGCTTGGGACTCCTGGCTTTGTTACTTCTGCAGGGAGTGCTCAATGTGGAGGGGAGGAGCATATTTAACCCTGGTGAGTATGCAGATATTACATTTTCTTTATCTATTTACAATGAAAATGCTGCATGCAACTACAGCTCCTTTTATAGAAGTCCCATTGTTGGCTGAATGTTTCACTTTTTCCAAAATGCAACAGGTTAAGAAACGCGACCAGACTGTAACATTTGGATGGATGTAGCTTCATTTTCTGTTCAGTATTTTGTTTGTAGCTTGTAAAGTTATATTTTTATCTTCTTTGTATATACAGGAAACCATGTTTATAATCCGAAAGAGGACACAGATCCACAGAGCAAGATCCTAGCCCTGTTACTACGCAAGAGCTTAGTTCCTGACGAAAAGGACAGCCCTCTTGGTGAGAGATAAAATTAGATGTTCTGACACATTTTGACAAATAAAAGTGTAGTCTAGCTTTGATTATTTCTGATTTTACTCTCTTCAGGTCTGGAGCTGGCCAATAAATTAGCGGAATTAGAAGAGGTAAGGATATCAAATTCAGATTCATCTTGAAGAAACTTACAATAAAAAAAAGAAAATGTATGATGATTGACTTTGATTTAAATAAATTCTGCTTCTGTTTGGATAATGTGCATGTTCCTTTAATATGTCAGGAAATGTGTAGTAATGTTATCCACATTTTCCGATACTTTAATACTTTACCACGTTTTAAAACGATACAATCTCTGTTATTTTAGTTATTGATATTATCAAAAAAGTACCAGAGCTTTGAAAAAACACAGAACTTCAGGTATATTTTTAACCCAAAGAGAGAAAGGCCAGTGTCGAATTTGCACAAATTCAGGATTTTGCTTGCAATATTAGGTCATTGGAAATAACCCAAAATTGTCTGCCTAGGACTTGTATTTTTGTTGCTGTGGTATTGAAACAGGTATTGATGTAGTTTGTTTTTATTAGTATCGTATAAAAGTTTAGAATAGTATCGTGGCAACCCTAATGTGTAAATTATTCTGAAAGAATCTGTCAGACAAACTGCTAAACAGACAATGTGTTGATTGTTTCATCCCTCTGATCTGTGCTTGTAGCTGCAGGTGCTGAGAGAGGACCTGGAGCTGGAGAGGGAGATCACAGCAAATCTAGCAGAAGGCAAATCTATAACCAGGAAGAGAGGGGAACGTGAGTCAAAAAAATGTATACTTCAAATTGATCAATATCTATTAACTATAGCCACTTCAGTGTATATATTCTGCAAGTGACACCTATATCTTTTATGTCTGCAGCTTGCTTCTGGAAGTACTGTGTCTGACAGAGGAGGAGCACTGCTTTAACAGTTTGCTGCAAAGCCCAACATAGCCTTAAGACTCCAAACACCAGTATTATAATCACATTGTATTTATCCCAGCAATATAGAGTTGTATCACAATCCAAGTCATCAGTTAACCTGTCATTTCCACTTCACGGACGAGAGATTTAAGTGTTGGATATACATCTTTAATCTGTATTAATCAGATCTTCACTGGGAATACTCGGAGGCCTGAGATGACTACATGTTCCTGATGGAAAAGACACATTTCAATTTAATTATCAGCAGGGATTTTATTTGCCTTCTCCTTGTGTTTTTGTCGCTCTCTTGTGGCAGAATTGTGCATAACATTTTTTGTACTACTGCCCACAAACATCATATGTGACATTGCTTTAAGAAAGTCACTGCTGTACATTTTACAGATTAAATACAATTATAATGTGAATAAGAACATTATGTGATGTTGTGTCTTATTTTTTATCTTTAGTGAGTGACAATGACTGAACTCTCAAAAAGGTTTGAAATAGAGAATTGTCTTTGTGTTCATTTTTTCTATCAAATAACAAACATGAAAAGATATTTTAGATTTAAGTGGACAACATATCATAACCCTTATTCAGAAATTGAATATGTTGAAGTGTGAAACTCCACTGTTAAGTAATTCACCTGTCATCACACCTGTACACCTCGTGCCACATTTTTTTCACTCTGCATTTATTTTATTTGACTGGTTCTTTTTGAAGGGGGTTGACACAGCTGAGTCAACCACTTTGTATAAATAATGGGCGAGCTGTTGTGTGAAAGGCTGTGATTCACACAGAGGATGACGAACACAGGAGTTTATTCACTCTGCTTTCAGCGAGACCAGAATGCACTCACTCACAGCAGCATCAGACAAAGTGATGAACTTTGCTTTTAGACCGTAAATCCTCTGCAGTGACTTTATTATTCATGCATCTCCATTTAAAAAAAAAAAAAAACTAACATGATACATGCATGTACACAAAGGTAAAGTCTTTGGTATAATCCATGTATCGATACAATGAACTGAAGATAACACATTATTCCGTATAAGTACAATTTTGATAGCGATAGCTTCACAGTGCATTTAAAGTGCATTGTACTTCTATATGGTGATTAATACCATTTAATTTTCAGTCTATCAATGACTAAGTATTATCCAGGTTAGGGTTAGAGTAGGGTTTTTTTGGGGTCAATTTTCACCCTCTATTTGCTCAGGCGTGGTCTGTTGCAAGAAAGAAAAATTAGAAATAAGTAACTGAAATAACCTTACAATGAAAACTGATATATTTGCAAAAATATACAACCCCAATTAGTTCAGTGCTGGGTTTTATTTAAAGGCAGTTTCCTCCCCCAACCCCCCCCACCCCCCCAAAAAAATACATGACTATTTAATTCTTACACAGTTAAACAACATGAAGGAGGTGTTGATTAGAAGATCACATAAGTCTATATACATCAGCCTTCTACATTGAAAAAAGTAAAAGAATACAATAAAAATCATAAGCACTAGTTTAACCATGTTATTTATTTACCAATATTTTGTTAGCATCTGCCGAGACAATACAGTTCTCCAGCTGTGTTACTCTAAAGTCATCAGAGACACTGACTGACAGACACTCACTGACTTAATACGGAAAAAGAGTTTTATCTTCTTCAGTTCAGATCACAACTTGGAGCTTAGACTCCAACTGTTCTGTCAAGATAAGCTCCAGGAAATTACCAAGCATCCATTGTGTCACTCATACAAGTGAAAAAAACAAACAGTATTATTTCTAGTAGATGATTTTCCAGCCAAATATCGCATGTAGCCTACTATATTAGGCTTTAGAATTTCCAAAAAGCTAAACGGTAAAAGTAAATGAATCAAGTGAAAGACGAGTCAGGGTATTTTTTGTTAAACTGTTGTATTAAGCATTCTTTTTTTAGCTAAACAAAAATCTTTGGCTGAATGCAAAACTGAACCAGTGCTGTCTTTCTGAACTCAAGCTTTGTTAAATGTATGATTCTCAAAGAAAAGATACACAGCAAACAAATGATGATGTCATAGAACTTGGAGGACTGCTGTGAAATATCCCATCCTTTAAAAACAAAAGTACAGCGGTAAAATACAAGATATGAATGAATATTTATCCCAAAAAATGTATTCATTATATTAAAACAAAGACTGGGACTGTTTAACTACAAATTAGGTTCTTATTGTTTTAAGACTTATTGGTAAAATAAACATGACAACATGAAGAAAAGTGACAAAATAGAAAGTGAGCGAAAGATATAGGGCTGTCAAAGTTTTTTAAATATTTTTTTTATCGCATGTGAGAAATTCCATTATTTAACTTTTTTTTTTAAATGTTAAGGCTTTTATTTGGGATTTTTATTTTATTTTATTTTGAAATAAAGTAAGGGCCTTTCTGGTAGATCAAATGTTATGACATTAAATCAACCAGGAAAAAAGGTGAAATGTTTGATATAATAAAGTGGAAATTACTTTGGACTCAACAATGAATGAAAAAAAAAGAATGTTAATCATTTGTAACATTAATAAGACACGATAAACTAGTTCATGCTGACAGCCCAAATATTAAGACGATAAACAGCCAATGTACAAACATACAAACACTAATATTACAGTAATGTATGAATAATGAAGGACCATTCCAGGGGCAGAGGTATAATATTGTTAGATAAACAAGGGAAATACTTTTAAAAATAAAATATTTAAGGAATATAATACAATTAAAAATGAATCATTGTGAAAAATTAATTTGTGTTTTTGTGGGAAGTGATATCTATATGTTATATGATCTGGAACGGTTTTAATTAGTATAAGAATTGTTATAGAGTAAGATGATATTTAGTAGTACACTAGAGCTTCCATTGTCATCATTGACTCTAATGATGATGACTAAGTTGTTCTACTTTTGACACTTGTTTTACCCTTCATTCACTGATAAGTGATGATGGATGGTTTTTTGGGCGGTCTTCCTGTTGAGCAGAGGACAGGATGATTTAATAAATTTTGTGCACTTTTCAAACTGCTGCAAAGAGGAAACACTGCAGCAGGATCACAACATCATACAGAAAATCATGGACTCTAACTTCAAAGGTTGGTAAAACATCATCATCATCAACATCATTTTGGTTTTAATTCGGTTTAATTCCAGACTTGAATTGATCGCATATGAAAAATAAACATTGAAATATGGATAAAAAAAGGGAAAGGTTAAAACAATGCAACAATGAACTGCTATTTGGGACAGTATCAGACATTAACTGCATGCCTACAAGCATTAAAACCACACACATACGCATTGAATAAAGAGATTAAAATAGGTAGAATAGAAAATAATAGATTTAGTCCAGTCTTAAGTGTATAGACATTTTAAGATAACATTGCAGTTATAAAAATAAAACTGCTCATGAAACTAGATTATAGTAAACTAAATATTGTGTATTAAATATTATTGCAAATTAGGTATTTTGCACATTATTATATGCTAATACATTACAATATTAATACAACAAAGTCTTGTTGTGTTAAGTGTTGTGAAGTTCAGAGGTGGTGTAGGGGCATTGTTTCTGTGGAGTGCAGATGAACATGCTTTCAGGAAAGTAAAGTTGAAGAAAAGAACTTACATCTACTTGGTTTAACTCTGCAGGCATCTTGTGGCTGGCACTCGTTCTCTTCACTCTGCCTCGGCTCACCTGCCACATGAACTGTCCTCCAAAATGCACCTGTAAGGATCAAGTTAACTGTTACGACAAAACCATCAAAGAGGTACCGAGGGAGCTTCCTCCGAACACAACCAAGCTGCAGCTTTTTAACACCAAGGTGAACGAACTGAATGAGCACAGCTTTAAATTCCTGCCCCTGCTGTCACGTTTCCTGTTGGTCAAAAGCCAACTGCACATCATCCATCCCATGGCCTTCCATTCTGTTTCAAAGATCAGGTCCATCATACTGGTGTCCAGTTACCTTTCCAACCTTCCTGCTAAGGTTTTCAGTACGCTCACTGAACTGGTTCAGCTAAGTTTAGATGAGAACCAGCTGGAAACCATTTCTCCAGAATTGTTCAAAGGACTTGTTGCGTTGGAGGATTTGACCCTGAGCTCGAACAAACTGAAACGTCTCACTTCAAATGTTTTTGATGACTTGGGCAACCTCAGACTTCTGAACCTCGGCAGGAACTCCATATATGAGCTTCCATCTACCATATTTCACAGTTTGACTAAACTTAACAAGCTTTATCTCTATCACAACAAGTTGGATGAGCTGCAACCTGGGATCTTTGATAGACTTGTCGCCCTTGAGGAGCTAAGAATGCAACAAAGTCAGATAAGCAGTCTTCCTCCTCGGGTGTTCTGGCAGCTAAGGAACCTAAAGGTCCTCTATCTGTCCAACAATCAACTTCAGACTGTCCCAAAAGAGAGTTTCTACCATATGCCAATGCTGAGGTCTCTTACCTTACATAAAAACCCGTTGATTTCTCTTCCTGATCAGCTAATGGGTCACATGCCTGACCTGAGAGAATTTAATTTGTATGGAACCAATCTCACCACTGTTCCTGGAAACCTTTTTGCTAATATGTCTGGACTGTTAAGTCTAAACTTTGGGTTGAATGCTTGGCTGAAAGACTTGCCTTCAGACCTCTTCTGCTGCCTCCCCAACCTTCAAAATCTCACACTGCAATCCAACAACCTCCATCATCTTCACACTCAGCTGTTCTCAAGACTAACCTCACTACAAATACTTCGTCTTCATCAAAATAAGCTGCAGAACCTACCGTGGGACATTTTTCAAGGCCTTGGAAAACTTTCAATCATTGATTTGAAAGAAAACCAGCTCAAGACTCTCTCAGGTGATATTTTCTTATCAAATGTAGCTCTGAGAGAGGTCCATCTGAGTAACAACACCTGGAACTGTAACTGTAGCATCAGAGGTTTTGCAAAATGGATAAGAGAGAATGAGCATGTGGTTCCTGACAGAGAAGATACTCAATGTCTTAGTCCAATGCAAAAAGTCAGTCGTGCCCTTAACTCTCTTCACGACAAGGAGTTTGACTTTTGTGATGCTACAACAGTCAGTTATTTCACAACATCGCTGCAGACTCAAACCACCACCTTGCTTGATATAGAGGAGTTTTACCCCACCACAAAGACTTTGGTGACTGATGGCAGGTCCCTTTCTTTCTATGACAAGTTGATGGTTGAGAACGGTCCAGATTTTGTCCACCACAACTTTCACAGCGGCTGGGTGTACGTGTGGTCGCTGCCCACTGATACGTCCCTGACAGGGCTCCTCATGTTTAGTCACATCTTCCTTGTGACCACAGGCGTGTTTCTTATTCTTGCTACCATGTATGGCATGTATCGCCTTGACAGGATTATGGACGAGTTAATGGCTTAGTCAGCAAAAACATATGGGTAACACAACATGTTATCAGTCCTGCTGCATGAGAGAAAAAGATAAACTGTCCTCTTCCAGTGCTGCAGTTTCCTGTTGTTGATTCAGTTGTTTATTCAGTAATAATACAAGATATCTACCAATTAGGTATTGATAATAACTAGTTGCAATTTGAGGGCTGATCAACTATGTCTATATTTATTCTCTAACTTATATTAGAGAAACAAATATCTTACTGTGTGGAATTGTGTCATTTGCACACTTAAATCCGCTTTTTCTTATTTTAGAATATTAATTGTCTTGTTCTATTACAAAATAATCCAAATGATGTTTGGAGCAAAGTTAAAGTCACATCCAGACTCTGTACAAAAGTTATTTTCAATTCAGGAGAGCAAATATGATTTAAGAGGTGTTTGTAAGTTTACTGTACAAAATGCAAAATGCAAAAAATAAAAATAAAAAACGTGTTTCAATAGTTAGGGTTTAATTAATGAATGATTCTTACTTGAGGCTAACAAATGAGAATAATGTATCTTTATTCTTCTGGGAGCTGGTAGCTTAATTGAATAAGAATGTAGGATAGTCTTGTTCAGTCACTACTTAGTACATCATTGTTGATTTTGTTTTAACTGTCTATATTGTTTAAAAATATTGTATTTTGTATGAAGGCTTAAAAAAATACTCAAAATCTTACATCTTAGTGGTTGAAACGGTTGTGATGGGGATTTTCAACTTCTTTTTACTCCTGTGTGTACAGGGTTTTTGGACTGAGTCGGTCAGGCAGACTATTAGAAATAAAAAGCTTAATGGTATTTAAGATGAGGGGGGTTCAGTGTAACATAATTTAATATAATATTTCAGTTTCAATGACAGGGGGAGTCTTATGTTTATCAACATTTCTTACCACCTATTTGCTCAATATTTAATATTAGATATATTGCAAACTATGCCAATTCTTAGGTTGAATGTTAGCCCAGAAGGATAATGATTGGGAATCTTAATTAAAGACTGATCAGTAATTTTGGTAATTTTTGGAGTAAAAACGTGCAAACATCTGCTGCCCAGCTTCTTTGATACAGAGATTTTACATGTTGTTAATGTTACATGGACCAAACAATGAATAAGTTGATAAGGAAAATATATAACATATGAATGGTGAAAATATTTTTAGTTTGAAATGTAGATTTTCTTTGAGATGAATAAAATGTTTTAATTTGTCTAATTTTGACAAAACAATTATCTTGAATTATAAGTTGGTATGTGTCATTGCTTTGATTGTTAAATATATTAGCTTATAGCAGTGTGTTAATTGTTTGTGTCACTGTTCATTACTTTGTTAAAACTGAAGGAGGGTGTATTTTAAGCTTCATAAAGACAATTACGTCAACATCGCAAGCTATTTGTCTCCCTCTGGTCGCGTCATCTCTGAATTTCATGAGGAGGCAATGCAATCATTTAATAAATACTCAAATAAATAAGATTATGACCAAATGTTATGTATATTGTTTTATTTTTTGATTACATATGTAAAAAATAAATGATTGTTTTCTGTTCATTGTAGGTTTTTCTGCAGCTGAGGCGTGTAAAAATGCCATCAAGTTTTCATAATGATGTAATTCCTGCCTCACCCAGCAGTAATTATGTTGTTTTGTTTTACATCTGGAGTCTTAAATGCATCAGACCAAGGCCACACCTTACGTTACAGCTGACACAAGCAAAATCTATAACATCAGTTTGAGATGGAAGATAGTTAGTGGGTATTTGAGAATATGTGAATGTGTTGGTTTTACACTTCTCTTCTTACACTTTCTAAAGAGAAAGTGAGCTCAGTTGGTTGTTGGGATTTGATGGCTTATATTTCTATCACTTAAATTAAAGTCTACCAATACATGTAGTCGTACTGTATTATCTTGTACATATCTTATTATAGTAGTCCTACTTGGTACTTATTGCTTATTTTATTAACTCTATTCTATTTTTATTTTCTACTGCTGTATTGTGTGAAGAGCAATGGTAACACTGAATTTCCCCCCTTGGATTAATAAAGTATTTCTGATTCTGATTCTGATTCTAATCAAACTTACACTTATGTAGCCATTTCCTGCAGTGTGTATGTTTAGTTCAATCACACACACACACACACACACACACACACACACACACACACACACACACACACACACACACACACACACACACACACACACACACACACAGCTGAGTATGTTATCTGAATCACAGCAATGGTGGAAAAATGTGACCTCCCAAAATGAATCACATCATGGATACTGGAATCAGAACATTTATCATAATAGCCTTCAAAACAGGAAGCTCAGATTCAGTCATCATCATCTCTCAGCAATCAGAGGGCAAGGGGCTAAATAAAACCTGAAATGACTCTTTTCTTACACAACATTGCCCCTGTCGTTTCACAAGACCCCATCATGACACAAAACCACAAGAACTTGCACATAGAGGTGGTTCCTTTTTTTAAATAGTTCAACCATCCCCTAACACATAAGTTATCTGAAAATATACTCCAAAAAACATTTTGAAAGGTACTCTATATCTTATCCTGAAGTTGAGTAATAACTAGAATAGTATTATAAATGAATCTCTTTCAACTTTGTAACTATCTTAACTTGTAAATACTAAATTAAATTTGTTGTTGTAGCTGTTTTAGGTTAAACAAAAGAAAGTGTTTTATTTTTTCAAGATTTTAAGAGCTTTAAAACTTTCACATCATGGCAACAGATGCCATACATTCTTGGAGAAGTGATTAGACTTTTAAACAAACAGAAAACAAAAGAGCATGAATTGGTGAACAGCACCCAAGTTCATCGCTATGACAACGGGTGATTAGGCCTTTCCAGTACGCTGAGCTCGCACAACAGTGGGTATAACCAGTACCCCTCCACACACACACACACACACACACACACACACACACGCAAACGCACACGCACACACACATGCACGCACGCACACACACACACACACACACACACACACACACACACACACACACACACACACACACACACACACACACACACACACAGCAAAGACAGTAAGGGAGGGTGAGTGTATGGAGAGGAAATTCCACTGCAGGGGTTACAGAGAATATTTGACCAAATTCCAAAACAAGTGTCGAAGATTAAAGATTAAAAAACTAATTTTGTACTATTCTAACCTTAAATTTATCAATAATCAATTCATTTTAAGTCAGTATTCGGAAGAACAGCTTAACAGGCTATTGTTTAAACTGTTTTTTTTTTAAATGTCATGGATTAGTAGATACATATTTAAAAGAGGAAAAGAGGAGTATTATCCAAAGGTTGCTTTTTTTTATGTCTAAAAGAAAGCTTCCTCCATACGTACTTACCCATGACCTTTTGACCTTTACACAAAGACATGGAATATAATAATTCAGAAAACACTGCTTGCTGTATCCTGCTTCCTGCTTCACAAAAAAAAGCAAATAAACAACAACAACAACAACAACTTGACTCTCTTAAATCCTTAAAAGTAAGCTTTAACATTGATAACATTGTTTTACTGCCTTAAATGACCAGGCCCCACACTGCATGCGTGATATGCTAACTGGATCACTGCCTGAGATCCTCCTGTAGGGCCCTACTAGCGGTTCCTCAAACCCGACTCGACTGGTCACAAAAGGTGATCGAGCCTTTGCAGTTCAGACCCACAGCCGTGGAACTCCATGTCTGCAGATCTCACACAGATTCTTAAAACTACTTTTTATCTGTTTGCTTTTCTTAACCATTGGCGTTGTCAGATAGTGCTTTGCCAGTTTTGTATTGATAGATTTGTGAAATGGATGTTTGGGTCTTATTTGCCAGTTTATTTGCCTTCATTTTTTTTGTTTTTGGTGATTTGTGCTTTTGTTTTAAGATTTCGGCCTGTTTAATATTATTAGTGTAGGAGCAGAAATGTTAGTCCACATTGAATAACATATTTTTGAACTTAATGATAGAAAGGGCCCTTTTTTTAACATTTTCTATATGTCTTTCAGTATCATTACAGTTATATCAGAAAAACACCCTGTTCCAAGTATCCATTTTGAACACAGTTTTCACTGAGTGCATATACGTTAACTCCGCCCTCATTATTTGTTATCTGTGGCAAGGAGGAGGTTTGATAAGATACAGAACTAATGGATTAACTTACAGCGGCACAGGAATGTAAACGCAGCAGAGCACTATGTTACATCATGAATACATCATACCTGTTATTAACTTAGTCTCACGAAACCAAATGGTGTCTTCAGAAGCTCAACTACAACAGCAGGGAAAGGCTCATTTCTTACAGAGTTTACAATAACAAATCTGTTTCTTTATTTTCCTAAACATCCCTATACAGGAGATTAATAATAATGTCTAGAGTAAAACAGTTCTATCCAGTTTTTTTTTTCTTTTTTGTGTACCTTTTGGATCATCTTGCAAGCTGTGAAACCCAACTGCTGATTTCAGGGCGAATCTGCCAAGTGCTCAGACCATAAAAGCAATGCCAAATATGGGATGTCATACCCATGTGCAGCTGCTAGTTCAACTTGAACACCCAAAAAAGATGGCAAGGATAAATCAAAGTCACAAAACAAACAAAAAACTAACCTCATTGTTTTTGACCAAACAAAGTTCTCCCCCTCCCTCTAAACCAAACCTCCAACATAGACACATCTCTTTCCCATGGCCGAAAAGAACAAAAAAACATGTAATTACTTAAATGAAAACATATGGATCCCTTAAGATGAAACACAGTTCACATTTCCCCCTTAGATGCATTCTAACAAGCACAGACACCAAAGGGTGGGGCCTCCCCTATGCGTGATCCCCCCTCTCACACAAACACACACACACACACACACACACACACACACACACACACATACACACAAGCACATTTAGCAGAAAAAAGTGAGCGTGAGTGCATGAAAGGCAGAGAAGGGGCTGGGGAGCAGCCGGGACACTAAAGCCCCAGAGAAAGTAGCTTCAGATTTCATGAGCTAAGGGCAAAATTTGAAGACAAATAGATTAGTAAAGGGAATCGAGCGATGACGAAGAGCAGGAAAATGTGATGGTGTGAAAGTGTGTACAACGCTGGAAACTTTCATCAGAGGATTTGTAAAGCTGAGGAGGAAGGGAGGACGTACATAAAAGACAACCACACCAACTCTCTGTCAGCATTCATTCACCACAGGAGGTAAGTTCTGCAAAACAACATGCTGTCCCCGCTTAACACTGTGTTGATTGATACTTACTTAACATACTCACGTCAGAGATAATAATCAATGAGCAGTAGTACATTTGTGTTTTTTAATCACAATTCTATCTTAATTAAAACACTTTTTTGAACACTTTTTTTTTATTATGAACTTTCACTGAATTGAGAGACTACAGGAACTACTTTTTGTATTTGGTTAACTTAATGCTCCTGTGAGTAACTTTTGGTCTTCATCGAGGACCCATTTGGACTAAGCTGTAACTTTTGTTGCTCTGCTTATATTGTCCTGTACAAGCGTAAGTGTTTTTTTGACTTAAAAAAATCATCCTGATTTTCTGTAGGGCCCTGTTAATCACTTTGTCTGACATCTATCCAGCAGCAGAGGTTACAAGCTTTACAACTTACTAGTAGTGATCAATCCTGTTCCTCATGGGGTTGTTTTGCTCATTAGGTCATATTACTTAATGACTATTAACTTAATTCTGTTTTATAACCGTCTAAAAACTCCTCACATGAGCTTAAAGGGTTAACACTGAGTTGGATAAAGAGGTAATGAAAACTTGTAAAGCAAAACATAATTTAACTTCTTGAGCTCGACTCCTGGTCCGTGGTGGCACAGTCTTACACTTAGTTATTTCATAACAAAGTGCTGATCCCTCAGCTATGTCTAGCTGGAAAAAACAAAGTAATTATTGGTGGACTGGAAATGCTTTAGCCATTACACTGTGCTGCAGACTATACCAGTCTGGTCTACTCGAGACAGACATTGGTTTTGCTTGGAATGATGTTGGACCAGAGAGGAAACATTGTTTAGTTGCGGGTTTTAAATTCATACTTCAGAGGATTCTTGTGTTTTCGTAACTTTTTTTTGTCATAAAGCAGAGAAAAAAGCCACTAAAGCTGCTATAATATTTTGTCCAGACAGTTTTTTGTGCTTATGTTTTTCTATCCGACACATATATCTAAAGAGAGGAACTACATTGAGAGAATCCATTGCTCAATGGATTACTGACTTTTAGTTTCCAACGATGGCATAATCAGAAACACATCCCTGACTTGAATGTGACCTCGGGCCCTTCAGACTCAGTAAAGAAAAGTGAAGTGGTGACTACAATAAAACCAGAGAGAGCTGCCCCGTGAAACCTTAAAACCTCATTTAAAAAAAATAAGAAGGAAAGTTAGAAGTTGTATTAGGGGCTGTAAAAATAGGTCAATAGTGGTAGTACTGGTAGGATTGGAAGAGACGAATCACATGTTTCAATTAGCAGAGTTAAATACTTACAACAACAATAGGAACATTATTATATTTTCCATTTTACAGCAGGCACTCAGCAGCCAACACATGTTATTAAAACAGGCATGACACAAAATGTCTTGAAAATGGGAACAGCTGTGAAATGCACAAGGCTGTATTGTACTAATACATTTATGTGAAAGAAAGAAAGAAAGAAAGAAAGAAAGAAAGAAAGAGAAAGAAAAGACATGTGGCTGTGCTTATTTTAGGGATATGCTGGTGGTCTCTTTAGAGAGTTACTTCCTTGGAAAAACACTTTCTGCACCCTAATACAGCTCGGCCACTAAACAAGTACTCATGTCTGCCAACCTTAAGTTGCATAAATTTCAAACAGGCTTCAATAGAGAATTGGATCAGTAAGAGTTGGCACGACTTTGTGTTTGGAGCCTCTAGTGCCATTACAAACAGTGAGCACAGCCTCTTCCACAGCCTCAACATGTGCAGCAGTCTGCAGTTTGAAATGTGTTGTTGATACAAAACATGTGGCACTTACTTGCTGCAAAAAAACAAAACTGTGTCTGTATTCAAAAAGGATATTATCAGCAGTTTGGAGACTTGTGTCTAAAAAGATTCTGCAACAAGCATTTCAGGTATATGTGAAACTGAGCAAATCTTCTGAATAAGTGATTTTAATGCCAAAAGGCTGATAAACATGGAGACTTACCAGCCAATCCTAATGACAATGCAGATGAGCATTGCTCCAAGCCACAAGCAAAATAGTACAATGCTTAGTAAGTCAATACAAATGTCTCCTTTCTGGTTAACACTGGAATGTTGAGGCTGCAACATTTTGGGGAGTGTTACAAATTAAAGTTACTTTCAGTATAACACTTTGCAGCTGTTCTTTACGAGAAAGGCAGAAACAGCCTCTACTGTCCTAGAAACAAAAATCTGTTGTTTCTTTTTTTGTACTACAAAGTCAAGCTTAATCTCTTTTCTTGGCCTCAAATTTTTGGTTGGACTCCCCCCCCCCTTTTTTTGTTAAGTGTTCCGTCACACTTTTTTTTTTTTCTTGATACTTTTTTACTTCAGTACTAGCATCAACCTAAGAACAGCTCAACACTGACATAAAGCACATTTTTTTTACGCTTATATGTGAGTCATGTCTGCCTTGACAACTGAAGGCAAGAACTGAGACAATAACGATTAATTACACAGAAAATAAATATACCAATGTACTCATGGAGAGTAAAAATGTATCTTTTTAGGATATAGCCGGAGGGGTCAAGGGTCACAAATGTATTTCCCCTTGCATATTATGTCACTATTCATTATGTCAACTGATCTTTGTAATAACATGCTTGAGTTTTCCTACAGGGATGTAGACTTATTGCTAGGTGGTTCTTTCAGAATTAGTCAACACAATCTTTCAAAGCTAGGACAGTTTAGGAAGTATTGATTCTTTGGTGTGCAGCTGACACTAAAGGCATAACAACAAGGGGGAGCTCTTTTCCCTTTTTCTAACAAGATGGAAAGCTTCCTGCTTCATTACAGTTACAGGTCACAGTCCACCAGTGTTAGAGGACATTTAAAAGCTTTCACAGTCATAGTGAATGTTCATCAAGGGCTCCTTTAAAGACAAAAAAAGGGTACTCAGTATGCCATTAGTTTGACCTGTTCAAAGAGTCTTTAGCCATCTATTAATATCCGATAAAGGAGTCAAACCAATCCTTAACAAATCTCTTTCTTCTGTTCTAGAGAAATAATGGACCTGCCCTGGACTCTTCATGTGCTCGGACTTCTCTGTTTCCTCACCTCTGTTGTCTGGTCATGTCCAGATAGATGTGTGTGTCAAGGGACAAAAGTCTTTTGCAGTGGCCTCTCAGACTTCCCCAAAACGGTGTCCTCAACAAGTGCTGGCCTGTACTTGTCCAACTGCAACATCTCCTTTCTGAAACCAGAGGACCTGACTGATCTCTCTAATACTCTCAGCATCTTTGTGGTTATAGACACTGGTCTGAGGGAAGTGCACCCTGGAACATTTGATTCCACTCAAAACATAGGAGCTTTAGGGTTTACCGGCACAGAACTACAAGATCTCCCTGAGGCCTTGTTCAAAAATCTGCTGAAGCTTGAGTCTATGAATCTGAAGAGTAACAAACTACTGGTCCTCCGCCCTAATTGGTTTTCAACATTGACAGCTCTTAAAAACCTGGACCTTAGTAAGAACCAATTCACTTCTGTACCTGTGGAAACTTTTCAGCCTCTCACTGAGCTGCAATACCTTTTACTGTCTGGAAACAGTATTAGCCAAATATCTAGAGAGACATTTAAGGGTCTCTCTAAACTGCAAACATTACGCCTTAATAAAAATGTATTAAAGGAGTTCCCCTTAGGCAGTTTGGATGACCTTGGCAACCTACAGGAGCTATCACTACAAGACAATCAAATCACTCATCTCCACCCTGATCTATTCTCTAAGACTTTGAGACTGCAGAAGCTCTTCCTCTCCAAGAACAGGCTCACATCTCTTCCACAAGGGGTTTTCCTAAACCTGCCCCTGCTTTCCCAGATCTCCCTTTATGATAATCAGTTAGAGAGTCTGACACCAGGGGTATTTGGGCCAATGGCTCTGCGGGAGTTGTGGTTGTATGACAATAAGCTGAGTCGTGTGGAAGACGACACATTCAGGAACCTGACCCAGTTGCGGCTCTTGGTGCTTAGTCGTAATCACATTAGCCATGTATCCACCTGGGCCTTCAGAGGGTTGGAACAGCTGGGGGAAGTTTCGCTTCACACCAATCTGCTCAAAAAACTTCAAGCTGGGACTTTCCAAGGTTTGCCCAGTCTGGTGAACATTTCCTTAGAGCACAACTTCATTAGCTCCCTCCCTTCAGGTTTCCTTCAGGGCCTGAGCCACCTGGGAGAAATCGACTTGAAAAATAACTCTCTTCCCAACCTACCACAGGAGACTCTAGATGCCCTAAATGTGGCCCAGGAAGTACTCCTGCAGCAGAACCCCTGGAACTGTAACAAAGATATTCTTCCACTCAGAAACTGGCTGAGACAGAATCCATCAAAAACCAACCAAACTCTGGTTGTATGTGAAACACCTTTCAGTCTGAATGGTGAGGTAATCGCTCTGCTGGCAGACGAGAACTTGATGCCTCTCAGCACTACTGAGGAGCCTGCATGGACGTCGACAGAAAAAAGGAAGAAACCCCACACCCCTCCAACCAGACGAAGTACCTCCTCACCTTCAGTCAAGACCACCCCCACCTCAGATCACGAGGAAGTCACCAGTGGCGGACAAGGACAGGGGGAAAATGGAACAGTGTCAAATGACACTTCAATCATTCTCATCATCATCGCAGTCGTGTCCACTGTCATCATCAGTACCGTCATCATTTGCTGTTTGTGCTGGAGACGGAATAAGAAAGGCAGGGGAGATTTAAGCCGCAGAAATAAGAACTCTGTGCTGTAGGATCGACCACCCAACATCAGCAACCCAAGAACTGATTACTGTGGTTTACTTTGGAAATGTTGACCGTAGAGTAGATTTTTAGGACCTTGAAGGCAACGGTTATTACATCTCGAGCTCCATATACCTGCTGAACAAAAACATCATTAGCTTTAGGTTTGAGTTGGTTTTAACATTCACCAGCAAGTATTACTTTTAATGTTTACTGTAAAAAGAGAACGGATATTGAATGTACTAGCTGTAAAACTACCCACTCTTGGCAACACAATCGTGTTGGTGAATGTAACCTCTCATGCCGAAAACAGAGCTGTCTTTGTAGGGAAATTAAGCCTGTATTCAGTATTTTCTTGGATCTATTTTTGTTTTTCTGTGATAATAACTGTTTGACAATGGCTTTCTTATGCTTACAATAATACATTTAGGAGACGGTTTAACTTGTTTTACAAAATTGCTCTTCTATGCAAAATCTAACATTTCATTTTGACTCTACTGGAACAAAAATATTGTTTGGGTTTATATAATTTAATGCCACTGTACATTGAATAAATGCACTATTAAGTGGGAGAAAATCTCACTGTGTCAGTCAATCACTATACAAAGTTATTGTATCTTTTCATATCATTTAGGATTGTAAAAAAGAGGTTAAAACTCCACTTGCTTGTGAAGAGTATTTTAGAAAAATAATCTAAAAAAAAAGGTTTAAAAAAAAAATTAAATAGAAAATAGCATTGATGGCATACATCATTACATTATAATATATTTTAGAAATGGATAAAAAAAAAGTGTGAAAGCATTTGGTTGTTGTTACTTAAACAGCATTATGGGATATTTTTTGATAGGAAATCCTAATCTACAATTCAGCAGACGCTTAATCAATAAGCAATATGTTTCTCATCAAATTGATCATGCCAAACTAGCCTAGTTTAATTGTTCTAGTGTTAAACAGAACCGAAAGTCCGAGGTACTGTGAAGGTAAGGGGGGTCAACATGATACTAAATCACAAACATTTAGTGTTACATTCACAGGAATCTGTTTTTGTAAGAAAACAAATAGTTTTCATGATTGATTGTTGTTTAGTCAGCCAGTAATTTAACTTATGTCTACTTTCCTTTATACATATATATATATATAAAACGACTACCATCTAATGGACAGAAGTTGACATACTATTTAAATCTATTGGTTACAATCCAAAAATGATATCCCTTGCTTGGCCTGAAATGACAGAGACCAGACAAAACAAAGGGGTCACAAATATTTTACATTTGTATGTCTAATTGTTTCCTGACAAGAACAATGTTCTAATTAGGAAGTCTTATCAAACCATAATAAGCAAACTGGAGAAACTAGAGAAAAGGGAGGAAAAGCATCAAATTTGTCGTCCTTTTTCCTTCTTCTGTGGGAGCAGGTTCATTTTTCAAAATTACTAGAGGTTTAAATACAAAGGGGAGAATGTTTAGAGTGTGTTCATGATCCTTCTGCTCTCCTTAAAAGATAGAAACTCATACCTTTCACATATGATGGATAAAAGGTGAAAGCTTAATCATAGATATCAAATTTTAAGACCTCTATCCATTTATAAATAACGGCAGGAAGTGTTTTAAAAAAGCTTTAATGCCTTCATTCTTTTTATTGAAAGAATTTGCAGATGATGTAAAAGCGTCAACCACTTAAATGGATAGTCTTGCATCATAGCAGTGCAGTAGCTGGCTGAAACATGGCTCTTATCTGGAGCTGCAGACGTGTGTTGCACCACGCCTCACATAAACATAGATGCTGAACATAACGAATGAGACTGAGTTTGTTTGGGTCTCTTCTCTGCTTTAACAAAAATTTGGTCCTCATTCCTGAAATAAAAAGGTAGGAAAATGTTTTATTTTTTGTATTTTACATCAACAACTCATAGATTGAATGAAAACAAAAATAACACAGATGTTCTTTACATTATAAAAGTCATATTTCTTCTCAAAAAACAAAACATGTCAAAGTACCTTCTAAATTTTATGAATTAAAATAATGTTAATACTCAATTTCACAAGTTATTAATTACTTTATTTTATCTGTCTTATAGAGATGTTGAGGGGAGAAATTGTTGTTCTTTTTCTGTCTTTACTGTTTGAGACTTCATCAACTCAAAACAGTCAAAAGACGGACGCAAACAAAGAAGTTTTTGGTCCAGAGACGAAGGAAATCCCAAAGGTCCTGCGACCAGGTGTGACAGAGCTTTTCTTTGCGGAAAGTGAGATCAATACAATACCCAATGAAGCCTTTGTTGAACACCCATTTCTGACAAAGTTGGAGTTTATGAACACCAACACGACTATTATTGGGCCGGAAGCTTTTGCAGGCTTGGTTAACCTCACGCACATTAAGATCTCCAACAATCTACTTACATCAATCCCAACGGGAGTCTTTAAAGACCTCCGTAACTTAGTGACAATTTCACTGGGATTTAACAAACTGCGTTGTCTGGACAAAGGCTTATTTGACGGCTTAAAAAAAACAAAGGAACTCATGCTACATGGGAACCAGATCCAAACTATTGAAGACGGGACTTTTGATGATCTTGAGGACCTTACACTCCTCCATTTAGCTAAAAACAATCTCTCTGCCGTGTCTGCCAAATGGTTTTCAAAGTTGAACAAACTGCTGACATTGCGGCTCTACGAGAATCAGCTCACCACCATTCCTGAAGACATTTTTCTGAATTTGCCAAATTTGAAGGAAATTAGCTTGAATGGAAACAAAATTGCAGAATTGTCACCAAATGTATTTCCACATAAAGACAACCTAATTAAGCTGCAATTAGATGATAATCTTCTGATTAGTTTACCTGAAGATTTATTCAATGACTTCAGGAAGCTTAAAATACTGACACTGAAAAATAATAAACTGACTAATCTGCCGCATGTGCTTTTTGGAAAACTGCCCAAACTGACTGACTTAAGTTTCAGCCAAAACAACCTAAGCTCCCTTCCTAAAGGAATAGTCAGCCCTCTGGAGAAACTCAAGAAGCTGGATCTGTCAAAAAATCAATTTGCCACTTTGCTGTCTGAATATTTTGAAGGCGCTGAGAAGCTCACGGAGCTGAATCTACTCAACAACAAGATTGATTCGCTGGATGAAGATGTGTTTGAAAAGCTACAATCGCTGACAACGCTAAAACTAGCTCATAACAACCTGCAGACACTTCCTGGAGATATTTTCAAGCCTTTGACCAAACTAAAGAAACTTTATCTCAATGACAACCCCTGGCGATGTGACTGTAATCTGATTGATCTGCACGACTGGATGAAGCAAAACTCGGACAAGATTTTAGATTCTGTACTGTGTGATTATCCAACAGATCTAAAAGGACAGGAGGTCAGATCATTGACAGAGGATAAGTTTATTTGCCTCACCACTGTTGTTCCTCTAACCACAACCATCACAACAACTCCCTTGACTACAACATCACTCCCAACAACTTATCCAACGACCACCATCCTTACCACTACAACACCTCTTCCTACAACACCAACCACTGTTTTGCCAACCAGCACTTCATCCCTTATAACCACAGCTGCAACCACCACAACGCCCACAACTACAGAAACAACGACCACCATCCCAACTACAGCGACACCTATGACTCCAACCACCACTACACAACCTACAACCACCACTACACCACCTACAACCACCACCTCAATGACTACAACACCTCTTTCTACAGCACCAACCACCACTACACCACCTACAACCACCACAACGCTCACAACTACAGAAGCAACAACCACCATGCCAACTACTACAACTCCTCTTCCTACAACACCAACCACCACTAAACCACCTACAACCACCACCGCAATGACTACGACACACCGGACTACTGAACTAACAACCACCGCAATGATTACTACAACAACTCTTCCTACAACACCAACCAGCACCACACCTCCCACTACTGCACCTCCCTTTACCACAAAACCAACCACCGCCATCCTTACTACTACCACAACACCAGCAACCACTTTGCCAGCTTCAACTACTACCACCCCTGTCTACACCACTACACTTGCCACAACTACAACAACAATACCAACAACCACAATAATGTTAATAACAACTGCATCTACAACCATAATATTAACAACAACAGTTGCACCAACTACAACTTTACCAACAACCACATATACCACCACAATGACAACTGCATCTGCATCTACACTTGCCATTACAAAGACTTTACTCTTTACCACAATGAGTGTACCAACAACTTTGACAACAACTAGACCTACAAGATCTAAAACCTCCACCACCATTCCCAGTACTACCCAGCCAACCACAGGCCAAACAATGACACCACCTCAACAAACCGGTCCGGTCTTTCCCTGTCTGATGGATCCATCCACTCAGGAGCCATCACCGTCCTTTACAAGTCCATACAAGAACAAAAGTCAGCGGTGTAAATCTCAGATGATGTTCTACACCACCCTGCTCGTGATGGAGGTCATCTTCACCCTGGTGCTTGCTAAGTTTACCCTGTCTCTGTTCCATCTGCTGAAGAGCAGAGAGAGGATGTACCACAGGGTCAAACTCACACACTTCTCCTACAGGAGGGAGGTCATCCTCAGGCCACTGAAAGAGGCAGAGACTCACAGACTTTAAACAGCAACAGCACTTGAAATACAGACCAAAATTGTTTGTAGACAATGTGCTCAAGCAAGTTAGTTTTTCACTATAAGAATGTCTGATTGTAAATATTTATTGGCTGTATTCCATCTTTAGCAAAAAAGGGTTTTTTAAACAGGATGCATATTCGGAAGGATGACATTTTTCTTCCTGAAAATGTGTTTGTCTAGTTCTGACTGAAACCCTGTAATTGAAGTAGATGTACAGTAGGGGGAGATAGAGATCTTAGAAACTTCATTTTATTGCTTGTTCACAGCCAAATATTGAGCTTTGAGACACCTTGCAGATTTAGAGTTATTAAACTCCTAATGAACTGAATCAGATGCATAGGCTTGTTTCTTCCGCACCTAGTTAAGTGCTACAATAGGGGCCAGCGGCTCAGATTAACATGAAAATAAATATGAAAAACTGCTGAGGTGAATGGCCCCTGACTTATTAAAAAAATCTATAAAGTTGTAACAATTTTGGTTTGAAGACAAGAATGATTGGATAACTTATATACAATAATTTGATATTCACATTTTAAATAAATTGATTATCACTTCATTTCACCGCTCCATCTCTTCTCCTAATGATTCATTAGTTTACTTTTTGCCTCTGCTGTTTTCCACACATCTGCCAAATATGGTTAACAGTAATTACAGTCTTTTGCGTCTGTGCTTTTATTAAAAGGCCATAGAACACTTTGGTTTAAAAGTTCTAGAATTCTGCTGACTGTGTGTGTGTGTGTGTGTGTGTGTGTGTGTGTGTGTGTGTGTGTGTGTGTGTGTGTGTGTGTGTGTGTGTGTGTGCATGTGTGTGTGTGTGTGTGTGTGTGTGTGGGCGTGCATGCGTGTGTTTAAGAGTTAGTAAAATTGCAGTAAAAAGTCCAATTCTAGGTAAAACATTAAACAGATACGGCCATTCTATTCGATCGAAGGCCTGCCAAGCATCAAGTGTCAGCACTGCTGTGTCTTTTGCATCAAGTTTTTCATGAATTATATTGAGAATTCTTCTAATATTATGAATTCCTTGACACTTTGGCACAAAGCCATTTTGATCATTATGAACTAAATGTGGGATATAGGGTTCCAGCCTCTTTGCTAACGCTTTGGTTGTTGTCACTTAAACAGCATTATGGGATATTTTTTGATAGGAAATCCTAATCTACAATTCAGCAGACGCTTAATCAATAAGCAATATGTTTCTCATCAAATTGATCATGCCAAACTAGCCTAGTTTAATTGTTCTAGTGTTAAACAGAACCGAAAGTCCTAGGTACTGTGAAGGTAAGTGGGGTCAACATGATACTAAATCACAAACATTTAGTGTTACATTCACAGGAATCTGTTTTTGTAAGAAAACAAATAGTTTTCATGATTGATTGTTGTTTAGTCAGCCAGTCATTTAACTTATGTCTACTTTCCTTTTTATATATATATATATATATATATATATATATATATATAAAACGACTACCATCTAATGGACAGAAGTTGACATACTATTTAAATCTATTGGTTACAATCCAAAAATGATATCCCTTGCTTGGCCTGAAATGACAGAGACCAGACAAAACAAAGGGGTCACAAATATTTTACATTTGTATGTCTAATTGTTTCCTGACAAGAACAATGTTCTAATTAGGAAGTCTTATCAAACCATAATAAGCAAACTGGAGAAACTAGAGAAAAGGGAGGAAAAGCATCAAATTTGTCGTCCTTTTTCCTTCTTCTGTGGGAGCAGGTTCATTTTTCAAAATTACTAGAGGTTTAAATACAAAGGGGAGAATGTTTAGAGTGTGTTCATGATCCTTCTGCTCTCCTTAAAAGATAGAAACTCATACCTTTCACATATGATGGATAAAAGGTGAAAGCTTAATCATAGATATCAAATTTTAAGACCTCTATCCATTTATAAATAACGGCAGGAAGTGTTTTAAAAAAGCTTTAATGCCTTCATTCTTTTTATTGAAAGAATTTGCAGATGATGTAAAAGCGTCAACCACTTAAATGGATAGTCTTGCATCATAGCAGTGCAGTAGCTGGCTGAAACATGGCTCTTATCTGGAGCTGCAGACGTGTGTTGCACCACGCCTCACATAAACATAGATGCTGAACATAACGAATGAGACTGAGTTTGTTTGGGTCTCTTCTCTGCTTTAACAAAAATTTGGTCCTCATTCCTGAAATAAAAAGGTAGGAAAATGTTTTATTTTTTGTATTTTACATCAACAACTCATAGATTGAATGAAAACAAAAATAACACAGATGTTCTTTACATTATAAAAGTCATATTTCTTCTCAAAAAACAAAACATGTCAAAGTACCTTCTAAATTTTATGAATTAAAATAATGTTAATACTCAATTTCACAAGTTATTAATTACTTTATTTTATCTGTCTTATAGAGATGTTGAGGGGAGAAATTGTTGTTCTTTTTCTGTCTTTACTGTTTGAGACTTCATCAACTCAAAACAGTCAAAAGACGGAAGCTATCCAAGTTTTTGGTCCAGAGACGAAGGAAATCCCAAAGGTCCTGCAACCAGGTGTGACAAAGCTTTTCTTTGTGGAAAGTGAGATCAATACAATACCCAATGAAGCCTTTGTTGAACTCCCATTTCTGACAAAGTTGGAGTTTATGAACACCAACACGACTATTATTGGGCCGGAAGCTTTTGCAGGCTTGGTTAACCTCACGCACATTAAGATCTCCAACAATCCACTTACATCAATCCCAACGGGAGTCTTTAAAGACCTCCGTAACTTAGTGACAATTTCACTGGGATTTAACAAACTGCGTCGTCTGGACAAAGGCTTATTTGACGGCTTAAAAAAAACAGAGGAACTCATGCTACATGGGAACCAGATCCAAACTATTGAAGACGGGACTTTTGATGATCTTGAGGACCTTACACTCCTCCATTTAGCTAAAAACAATCTCTCTGCCGTGTCTGCCAAATGGTTTTCAAAGTTGAACAAACTGCTGATATTGCGGCTCTACGAGAATCAGCTCACCACCATTCCTGAAGACATTTTTCTGAATTTGCCAAATTTGAAGGAAATTAGCTTGAATGGAAACAAAATTGCAGAATTGTCACCAAATTTATTTCCACATAAAGACAACCTAATTAAGCTGCAATTAGATAATAATCTTCTGATTAGTTTACCTGAAGATTTATTCAATGACTTCAGGAAGCTTAAAATACTGACACTGAAAAATAATAAACTGATTCATCTGCCGCCTGTGCTTTTTGGAAAACTGCCCAAACTGACTGACTTAAGTTTCAGCCAAAACAACCTAAGCTCCCTTCCTAAAGGAATAGTCAGCCCTCTGGAGAAACTCAAGAAGCTGGATCTGTCAAAAAATCAATTTGCCACTTTGCTGTCTGAATATTTTGAAGGCGCTGAGAAGCTCATGGAGCTGAATCTACTGAACAACAAGATTGATTTGCTGGATGAAGATGTGTTTGAAAAGCTACAATCGTTGACAACGCTAAAACTAGCTCATAACAACCTGCAGACACTTCCTGGAGATATTTTCAAGCCTTTGACCAAACTAAAGAAACTTTATCTCAATGACAACCCCTGGCGCTGTGACTGTAATCTGATTGATCTGCACGACTGGATGAAGCAAAACTCGGACAAGATTTCAGATTCTGTACTGTGTGATTATCCAACAGATCTAAAAGGACAGGAGGTCAGATCATTGACAGAGGATCAGTTTATTTGCCTCACCACTGTTGTTCCTCTAACCACAACCATCAGAACAACTCCCTTGACTACAACCACCACTACACCACCTACAACCACCACAACGCTCACAACTACAGAAACAACAACCACCATGCCAACTACTACAACTCCTCTTCCTACAACACCAACCACCACTAAACCACCTACAACCACCTACAACCACCACCGCAATGACTACGACACACCGGACTACTGAACTAACAACCACCTACAACAACTCTTCCTACAACACCAACCAGCACCACACCTCCCACTACTGCACCTCCCTTTACCACAAAACCAACCACCGCCATCCTTACTACTACCACAACACCAGCAACCACTTTGCCAGCTTCAACTACAACCACCCCTGTCTACAGACCAAAATTGTTTGTAGACAATGTGCTCAAGCAAGTTGGTTTTTCGGTATAAGAATGTCTGATTTTAAATATTTATTGGCTGTCAGTTGTCACTGAAAATATGTATTCCATCTTTAGCAAAAAAGGGTTTTTTAAACAGGATGCATATTCGGAAAGATGACATTTTTCTTCCTGAAAATGTGTTTGTCTAGTTCTGACTGAAACCCTGTAATTGAAGTAGATGTACAGTAGGGGGAGATAGAGATCTTAGAAACTTCATTTTATTGCTTGTTCGCAGCCAAATATTGAGCTTTGAGACACCTTTCAGATTTAGAGTTATTAAACTCCTAATGAACTGAATCAGATTCCTAGGCTTGTTTCTTCCGCACCTAGTTAAGTGCTACAATAGGGGCCAGCGGCTCAGATTAACATGAAAATAAATATGAAAAACTGCTGAGGTGAATGGCCCCTTACTTATTAAAAAAATCTATAAAGTTGTAACAATTTTGGTTTGAAGACAAGAATGATTGGGTAACTTATATACAATAATTTGATTTTCACATTTTAAATAAATTGATTATCACTTCATTTCACCGCTCCATCTCTTCTCCTAATGATTCATTAGTTTACTTTTTGCCTCTGCTGTTTTCCACACATCTGCCAAATATGGTTAACAGTAATTACAGTCAAGTACTTTCTTTTTTTGTTCCGAAGACACTTATGCATAAATATGTCATGTTTGTTTAATACTCGACTATTATAATGAATCATATGTTTATTGCTTTTCTTTATTAAACTGTAAATACTTTTTGTTACATCTTACAAATAATACAACATTGTACATCTCTATTCGCTAAACATAGAACAACTTAATACGTTTTGTCAGTTTTCTTTTTTTATTAGTAACATCCCCATCACACAGTCCAATCATTAACAGAATGGAAATGTTTCAGTCTTAAATAACTGTACAATTATGAAAATCAGAATGACCTTTATTCTGAGAGCCGTGGAAAGAAAAGCTCATTTTAAAGGGAAGAATCATCCTGCAACCGTCAACCAACGATCTTGAGGAGCCTAAGAGAGCGCAAGAGCTCCCAGGAAAGTAGGTGGTTAGTGAATGAGATTTACAGATAGATACATGCAGTAATATGATGTGCTGTATATGCACACTGAGAGAGAGAGGCGCTCAAGGTGCCAGTTCCCCTGGTAGTCTAAGCCTATAGCAGCATAACTAGGAGCTGGTCTACACCAGCACCAGCCCTAACTATGAGATTTATCAAAAAGGAAAGTTTTAAGTCTATTCTTAAAAATACAGACTGTGTCTGCCTCCCGGACCCGGCTGGAAGACGATTCCAGAGGAGAGGAGCCTGATAACAGAAGGCTTTACCTCCCATAGTACACTTAGAGACTGTAGGGACCAGTAGCAGGCCTGCATCCTGGGACCGTAATGTTCTTGAAGGATAGTACGGCACTAGTAGCTCCTTAAGCTAAGATGGTGCCTGGCCATTTAGAGCTTTGTAAGTTTTATAGTGTGCTTAACAATTTAACTGATTTATTGATGTATCTTCAGGCAAAGGTTACATGAATCAATGGGAGAGCAAATCAACAAGATATGGAGATGGGATTGGTAAATTCAAATGGTGCAAAAACTTCCTCTTCAAACTTTAGTCTCTGGTGTACCAGGAAAAAAGCCCCTTTACCTTTAAGTGGCCTATGCTTGTTTATATGACCACACTGAAGCACAGGTATCTGTCCAGTCTGTTCTCATTTATGCGAGTTATTTTTCCTGTCCTGTTCTGCCCTCTGCTGGTGGAGGCTATACAGGGACCATATCAGAAAGAAGAAAGGGGAGGCTGCAAACTCGGTTTGCAAGAATAATAACCTAAAACACCATACTTTTCACAAGACATGAAGCAATAGCAAAAGGGACATTACACCAAATATTTGGCAATTAAACTGTCTTTTGACAGACGAGAAGCAGTCTGCCACTGACTTATTTTATAAACTCTTCTTTATATTTGTAAGTAATGTGTTAATGTAGGAGAGTGTGTGATACATCAAAGATCTGACACTTTGTCCTCTATTTCTGTTGCGTCAAGTGTTGTATGTCTAATAACATACTTAGGGACTGTGTGATGTTTGTGATAAGTCAAGATTTAGCTAGATTTAACTGATGACACAAACAGAATAAAGAATGGACTAGTTTGATCTTCAGAGTTGAGCCCAAAAAGTTACATCTTATGTCTTAAAATATTCACATAAGAGGATAAAACATTTTAAGATACGTGACAATGCATCTTTTTCTAGGACACAAAACTGAAGTATTTTGCAGATAATATCTATAAAAATAAAATAAAAATACTTATAGTAATTTGTCTCTCCACTTTGTTTTTGATAAATCACATAAACCAAGTTAAGAAGTTGCCTATGTGGAACCAAGTTTGTATATCTATTTCTTCTCTTCATATATGGCCATTAATGAAATAAGTAAGTAATATTAACAAGTAAAACAATTCTTGGAACAAACAGACTTGTTCAGTTTTAAATAGATTCATTTATTTTTTTATTTCTCAAATAACTAGCCCAATTGCAAACCAATTATACTATCAGATTGGAATTAGATTCATATTGCCACAAGCATCAAATACAACAAATATCAACAGTCATCAATCAAATATCCATCCATCCATTATCTATACCGCTTTTTCCCGTTGGGGTTATTCGCCAATCAATTACAGGGCTGACATATGAAGACAGACAACCAGCCACACATTCATAAGTACGTGCAATTTTAGTGCCACCGATTAACCTAAGGAGCATGTCTTTATACTGTGGGAGGAGGCCAGAGTACCCGGAGAGAACCCACACATGCATGGGGAGAACATTCAAACTCCACACAGAGAGGCTCCTGTGACTGTCCTAGGGAATACGAAGACGCTGAGTTTGAGAGTGTGCAGACCAGATGTGTATTAACTTCACATTAACAGACGTTGTCGGTCCTGGAGATTAACCTGTGGATTGTTCTGCTGTACTTCGAGCGAGGGAGTCCTGAGGAAAACCTTTAAAATGTCACTCTGGGTTTTGTGTTGCTTTCTGGAGGTATTTAAGTGCTTCTTGTAATGAAGTGCGAACATCTGTTGCTGTACTTCAGTTTTTGCAATTCATCAAATTTGTTGCATAGTTGTTTAAATGAAAATCAATTTGGTCTAATTATTCACTTGCATCTACTAAATTATTGAAAAGTGTATGTAAACTTAAACATTTTAAAGTTAAAAATCTGGTTTAAAGCAAAATACATAGGCTTTATTAATAAAAAGTCCATACATTTTTAGTATTTTAAGTAAATCTGTTTTATTGTCTAAACTTTTTACATATGCATTTAAAACACATATGATTTATTTATGTTGAATACATACATTGTTATTAATTAAAGCAGATGAAATTTATTGAAGAACATACATAAACTTGGTTTTCATGTATTTTGAACACATTGAGTTTATTATTAATATCACATAAAACTCATCTACAAAAGTATTAGTATTAGAAAAAAAATCAGTTCCCCTAAGGATGACATAGCATTCAAAATTTTTGGGCGGTAAAGCACAGCAGTGAAGGGCAGGCTTCATGCGAGCCAGGGATGGTGGCTGAGCTCCTCCAGAGATGGACGTAGAGCAGTGTCTTTGGTTAGACAGAGTTGCAGCATGTCCTGGCAAGCTGGAGACAAATCCTTACTGATAGTTATTTCACCGGCGAGAAAACTTGTCGTCTCAAAGCGATCGTTCCAGTGCAGTAGGTCATACAGGACCACCCCAATCTGCCATACTGTGGTGGGACTGGCCCTGTAGGTTTTGTTCTGATACCACTCTGGTGGGATATGGGCAGAGGTACCACAAAAGATTCTGTACGAGGAAGATTTTTTAGAAAAGCAGCTGAGCCCAAAGTCGATAACCCTAACACGTGGGAAGTCAGTGCTGGTTTCAATCAGGATGTTCTCTGCCTTGATGTCTCGGTGAAACACCTTCTTTGACTGAAGCTCCCTGGCTGCCTCTATTAGCTGCTTTAATATTAATCTGCTCTCCTCCTCCTGCATGGACCCTTCTTTGACCTCCATGTACTCAAATAGGTCAACTGCAGGGACTGGACGCTCCAGGACCAGGATGAGCTCCTGGTCCAGATCATAGTAGTCAAGGAGGGAAATGGCAGCAGATTTACTATCTTCTTTTCCATGTGCCATCTTCAGCATTACAGCCACCTCCAGAGGAAGCATCTTCTTGCTCTTCCTGACACTTTCATAGATTACGTTTTCCCTGGGGATATGCTTAATTGCCACTGGAACATGATCCTCTCTTCTGAAGCCAGCATAAACACACCCTTGGCCTCCAGCTCCTAGTGGGTTCAGTTGCTGGTACTTAGCCTCAAACGCTTGTCTGCTGGTTTCCCCAGAAGTGGCTGCAGTGCTTTTCTTCTTCTTCTCAGAGGACTCCAATGAGGATATGATGGCTTCCACACATCTCTCTTCGTGCTCACAGACTCTCAATCTCTTTCTGGGTCCATTGTTTTCTTCGAGGAGTTTCCTCTTCACCCTAGTGAAGTCCTCTAAGGGCACAGGATCAGAGGTCTTCAGCCTCTTTGAGATGCCGCCATCTTCTACCTTGGATGCCTTTCTCTTTCTGGCCTGCTGGCCTCCACAGGCAGATTTACAGACCCTCAATTTCCGTACAAAGCCAGAACCATTTTGGTAAGTGTGCAGTGTTACCAGAGCAGCTGGAGGATGAAGATTCATAAACATCTGGGATAGTGATTCAGAGATAAATGAACTCATTTTGAACTTCAAGTTGAATGGTGTTTGAACACAGTGTCCTGACATCAAAGACTAAACCAAACCAACGCTTGTGAATTTTGTTAGTCTGAGACTTTAACTTCTAAGGTCTGAGAACGGAATCTTCAAATGTGCTTTTATTAAAAGGCCATAGAACACTTTGGTTTAAAAGTTCTAGAATTCTGCTGACTGTGTGTGTGTGTGTGTGTGTGTGTGTGTGTGTGTGTGTGTGTTGGTGTGTGTGTTTGTGTGTGTGTGTGTGTGTGTGTGTGTGTGTGTGTGTGTGTGTGTGTGTGTGTGTTGGTGTGTGTGTGTTGTGTGTGTGTGTGTGTGTGTGTGTGTGTGTGTGTGTGTGTGTGTGTGTGTTTGTGTGTGTGTGTGTGTGTGTGTGTGTGTGTGTGTGTGTTGGTGTGTGTGTTGTGTGTGTGTGTGTGTGTGTGTGCGTGCGTGTGTGTGTGCGTGTGTGTGTTTAAGAGTTAGTAAAATTGCAGTAAAAAGTCCAATTCTAGGTAAAACATTAAACAGATACGGCCATTCTATTAGATCGAAGGCCTGCCAAGCATCAAGTGTCAGCACTGCTGTGTCTTTTGCATCACGTTTTCATGAATTATATTGAGAATTCTTCTAATATTATGAAATCCTTGACACTTTGGCACAAAACCATTTTGATCATTATGAACTAAATGTGGGATATAGGGTTCCAGCCTCTTTGCTAACACTTTACAAAGTATTTTTGTGTCGGATCCAATCAGATTTAGTGGTCTAAATGAAAATCTTTCAGTAGGAGGTTTTCCTGGTTTCAATATCAATGTTGTCATTGCTAGCCTTAAACAAGGCGGGAGTGTTCCATTTTGATAGGACTCGTTATACATATTTAAGAGTGTAAGCATTTATTTTTCTTGGAAGAATTTATAAAACTCAATTGGTAGGCCATCAGGCCCTGGGGTTTTAACACTATTAATACTTTGGATTGCCTTTGATATCTCTTCAATTGTTAAATCTCTGTTTAAATAGTTTTTGACATCTTCTGTCAATGTCGGGTATTGAAATTGGTCAAGAAATGTGTACCTTTCCTCCGAGGATTGACTGCCCTCTGATCTATACAACTGTTCATAAAACTCTTCAAAGCTATTATTTATTTCCTTCGGATCTACTGCAATGTTTCCTGAAGAGGTTTTTATACTGTTGAATTCTCCATGCTGTGAGTTTTCCGGCCTTTTCTCCTTGATCATAATAAGATTGTTTCAGCCACATTAAACCCTTTGCAGCTTTATCTATGGATAACTTATTGTACTTGGTTCTAAAAAGTAGAAGGTATTTTTGTTTTGTTAAATCATCCTTTTCATTTAGTTCTGTTTGTAAGGATTTCATTTGTTTTTCCACGTTTTCCATCTCCATCCGTTGTTGTTTGGCCTTTGAGCTTGTAAAACTAATATTTTCCCCTCTGATATACGCCTTGAATGCTTCCCATCTCGCACTGGCACTAGCTTGATCTGTGTTTAACTCAAAATAATTATCAATTTTAGTTTCAACATATTCAACGAATGTTGTATTTTGCAACCAACTCGCCTGAAATTCGCCAGTTAGGGGGATTATGAACAAACTTCTCTATATGAATATTTAATGAAATGGCGGCGTGATCACTTGTTATTATACTATCATACCAGCTGTTTTTAATCTTTGATAGAAGTTCCCTTGAGACCAGAAAAAAGTAAATACGAGAGCGGTATTTACGTATACCTGAATGAAAAGAATATTCTATTTTGTTGGGGTTTTGTTCTCTCCAAATGTCAATCAGATTTATATCCACAATTTATTGTTTTAATAATTTTCCTCTTTCAGCCTTATAAGTGTCGCAGCCTGTAGAGAGATCTACTTCAGGGTTTAACCCTATTCTATTTTTATAGCAGTTTTTGTAAATTGAACATTTTCGCTCTCCAATGTCCAAACAGGGAACTACATTTTATATCTGATGCTATACAAAAACTAACAATGCATATGTCAATATTTTAGATAATCTTTGACATATCCAAGACTGATTTTAAAAAAATCCCCCAGCCACCAAATATTTGTTATATGGAAAATAACTAATTTTTGTAGTTTTTCATAAATAACAACAGTGACATCAAGTAATCAAACTGGCATTTAAAGGGTTAAATTCCTAAAAATGATTGAATTTTTGGTTATTTTGAGCAGGGCTGAAGTTGTTTAAGAGATGTATGCAGAAAAATGTAGAAAAAAATATCAATCTCTTCTATTTTTATCGCAGTTTTTTGGAATTGGACATTTTTGTCCTTAGTGACTGAAGAGGGTAGTAAATTAAACTGATGCCTGAGGGTTAAGGTACAATTAAAGTCCCCTCCAACAAAATACTATCCTCTCAAAATGGATAGAGTAAGAAAGAGATCTTCAAAAGACTTAGGGTTGTCCTCATTTGGGCCGTATACACTGACTCGGTTTAAAGTAAGAGTGAGGATGTTACCATGAGCAATAACATATCTACCGGCTTGGTCTTGGATTAAATGTTTGCTATATTACTTATATTCAGCTGCAGAATATTTCTGGCACCTGTATATTATAATCAAACAAGAACATATTCTCTTTTATATGCCTCACCTCAATGTGGCTAAGACAATCTCAGATTGGTTCCATGTCAAGTATATTTTATATTTTAATTATATGTATGAAAGAGTATGAAGTGTTTACACTGGAAAAGTACATATTGAAAAGGGATTCAACCATATAATACGACTACTATTAAACCTAAATGTGACTGTAATGTTGAGTTTTTTTTGAAAGTCAAAATGTTACAAAAAATGTCCTCCTCTGATTTAAAAAAAAATTAATTCTCTTTGGATTTTTTAAGGGGCTGTCGCTCACCTACCATCCCTCTCATTTTTGGTCCATCTACCACGACATCTGCCTGCTTGTGCATGAACATTTAAAAAGTACTATAAAAAGCTACTACTTCTTGTTTTTTTCAATCCTTATGAAATAAAATTAAATGTTGGATACCAAGGTGGATGCAGTGTTGGCACTGGACTAAGCTGCTAAAATTGCCAGAACCAGACTATATTCGTTTATTCCCAAAAACAGAAATATGGCACTTTTTCTGCAATGTGAAAATGGATCTTCACAGGATCTGTCATTTTGTGCACTTCACTCCTTTTACATATTCTTTGAAATACAAATTTATTATGAATTTATCTTAAAATGATCCCAATGGTGTCGTTCCTTTTGGTCAAACTGAATTACCATGAAGATTACCATTGAAATTAAGTGACACAGTAAAGAGAGTGTAGTTTGAAGTAAAATAAGATATGTGTTCATATTTAATCAGATGGGATCCAAACTGCTACAGGCAAGCCTGCTTATATAAATCCCTTTGGAGGAGTCTTCTGTTACTGTAAACAAGTGAGCAGAGAAGAAAACGCAACGAACGCTGACTCAGCTTGACATTGTAGCTTCGTCCGGACGGATTTTACACTTTGTTTTCTACCTGAAAACGTGAGACAACAACCAGATGGCGCGCTAAGCCACCTGGGGATGCTCAGAGTTCCTCTAGCTACGCTGGACAATCACTGGACTCCATGATTGCTGCCAACCTGCTCCTAGATAGATCGAAGGACTGGTAACTTTCTCTGTGGATCTTACATCTTGGAAAAGGTACTGATTGTATTATTTTATTTTGCTCTGTTTGAGTAAAGCGACCACTAAGTTTTTGGTCTCACCGCACACAAGCAGCAAAACAGACCTGCACCAAGGTTTTTATTAAGATAGCACTTGCTTCATGAGTGTTAAGTGTGTGTTTGATTATTAATTTAAATATAAAAATATAAGAGAACTGTTGTTTTTGTTTATAATCTGAAACTGAAGAAAACAGGTATTGAACTGTTTAAAGGTGATACTGGTATTTACAGTGAGACATTTATTCATAACAAAAGGTGAATTTTAAGTTGATCTTTATTTTATTTTGATCTAACAATTTAAGTAAGAAATTACTTATTCAACTTTAAGTCGGGCTACATAAACAATAAACACTGATAATAAACCATCATAGATCATTGTGATATAAAACATAGGAAATATATTATACTTTATGTGACACATTCTATATTTAATAATAAACATTATGATTATAACATATCCTGAACTTATGAATTTAAGGCTTGTGTCCATAGAATTGTAGCAGCTAGAGGGCAGTAGTGCTCCACTTAAGAATATTCAGTGAACCTTCATTGAGATGGCTTTTACTTTATTTTTTGTGGTATGAAAACAGGAATCACATGAAACAGTAGCTTTTAATCTCACAAACATATATAAAGCAGAAATTAAATGGATCTTCATTTGGGTTCAAAATCAACACATTTTGGTTTGGTACAATGTAAAATCTGTCCGTTTTTTTTTTCTGGCTCCTCTGACGATCCCCAGACATCAGCATGTGGACTCTTCCTGGATCCCAAGGTATCTGTTGGGGTGTTAATTGCCACTTGGTGACAGAATGTCTGGGCAATTAGTTGTAATTCACAGTTTAAGGTAAACAGACAAGAGGTGTCCTGGTTTAGCTAATAGTTTGTAAATATTAACACTTAATCCCTGTGCTATAATGATCAGCCCTATTTTGTGTATTTACAGGTTTTACAAGTCAGTGTGATTTCAGTTGAACCTCAAAAAAATGCTCATCCTGGGGCACTAGTGGCGCAGTGGTTAGTGTGTGCGCCCCATGTATGGAGGCTTTGCTCCTCCAAGCGGGTGGCCCAGGTTCAAATCCCACATGTCTCTCTCCCACTCTCTCTCCCTGATTTCTGAATCTATCAACTGTCCTATCTCTCAATTAAAGGCACAAAAAGCCAAAAAATAAATCTTGTGTGAAATGGTATTTATGAGTTTGACTACAGAACCTGAGTTGTGTAAAACTGCATAATAATTTCTGAGAAAATGTGTAAGATATGTCAATTTCTGAGATTTTT